CCTGACACCACCACTATAATTAATGGGAGGGGGAGTTGCCTCGAAATAGGTGCCGTACTGGTTCCCCAAATAGCAAGAATTAAGTAGCTACATAAATGCTAAGTATCTTGAATAAAAAATGCCAGTAGTTAACTTTTATATATGCATGGATATGTCTTTATTTATCTGCATTCTGATAGCACTCTCTGTCATGAGATCTCAAAAGGTTTTAAATGGAATTAGTTAATTATATTGACAGCATCCTTTTGGCATTGTGCTCGTAATGAGGACACTGATGGATGAAGAGGATCATTTTATTGTGTAGAGTCACATAATAAGGAATTTCAGAGAGAGATGGGATGCAAATAAATACATATAAAAATTGAGAGGTTGATAAGAACTAGTGAAGGAAGGGACACAGATTAACTTAACTAGGAGTAATTACTAGAAATTTTACAAGCTTTCGTCTCTGAGGAGCTGAGGTTTTTGTCTTGGTGTTTTTCTGTTTTTAAGAAAAAGCCTTTTACGAGAAGACTCGCCTACTCCAGCTTGGCACGAGAAAACCGTGTCGAAAAATAGTAGCCAAAAATAGCACATTTGGGTAATTTTTTTTGGAAAATGTTAGATAACGGCAGTGGTAATAAAGTTACTATTTTTTATGGAAGACAGAGGTGCTGCGGCACGGCTAGGAGAGCCTGGACCCCCAAGGGGGGAGCTCGTTTCCGAGAGCCAGGCTGTGCTGGCTCTGCCCTGCACTTTTGCTCCCAGTGTGACTGGTTTACACCTCGCTTGCCAGTGTTGAAGAGAAGCCGTTGGAGGGGGACTAGTTTCATAGCTTTGCTGAAGATGTTGAATATCCGCCCTAGCAATTGTTGTTCCCTGTTTTCAGGGAAACGGAATATTCCTAGTAGCAGATTTTGCCCCGTGCTTGTGTCTCCTCAAATTATCTTGAAACAGCAGTAAATCACGCTCCTTTGCACAGCTGAAGTTTCTAAACATGTGCACTCCCCATTCCTTATGTTTGCCAGGCTCTGGCACGGCAGGGACCAGAACACACACAGTGACGCTCCAGCAACCATAATCCTGCCCTACTGGAAGATCCTTTCTGGATGAGCTTGGGTCTGGGTGCTCTGTCCTACAGAGCCAGGTGTCCCCAGGCTTTTTCATCAAACACTCTGACATTCATATTATGAATGATGTTTTTGTATACATGAATCCATCATCAAATCATCACTTCTCTGAAGGTTTGAAATTACTCAATTCCAAAATTACTGCGATATGTTTCTTCTCGAGYTACCTAGAGATGTTTACAACCATTTGGTGGCTCATCCTCTTCTCTGGTATTTTATGCTTGAAACTTTTAGTGTCTTGGCCATCTGTAAGTATAAATAACATGAAAGAAACAAAAAAAATCTGAGGTATAAATCAGACTTTTAAGAATTATTAGATTAAAACAGGAAGGTTACTTGCTTATACTTGAACCTTTGCTCAACTTTATTGATTGTTTGAAACTGTAGAGCACAATCCCATGTGGAATTTCTGCCGTGCTGGGCAGAGATGGAGCAAAGGGCCCTTTGCTGCAGGTGGAACGTCCCAGCCTGCCCCGCTGACCACGCTTCCAGCATCCCAGCAGTGTTAAACCACAGATTAGGCTCCCTGTGGAAAGGAAGGGCAGGAAAGAAAAGCACAGCTAGGGTTACCCTTTGGAGAAGATACGGAGCTTGCTCTGTATGGCAGAGTGTGTACCTGGGGTCATGCACAAACTTAGCCACTTGTTAGTATCTTCCCACCTAAAGGTCTCGCCTCCTACCTTCTCACAAACAGAGAATTTCCCTATCTGCTGTTCTTATTTAATTTCCACAGCAGCGCCCTTCTTTCTTTCCTCCCCTGTTCACTGCAGTGCCCTCCCTTATTTTCACCTTCTCAGTCTTCTTTGACTCTTTCTCACAAATATACATTTTAATGCTTCCAAACTTAAACATATCCACGTCTTCCACCGTGAACTGTTGTGCTGTAGCATTTCTGTTATGCATGATCCAAAAGTATGRCTACTACTACATAGCTTAGTTTTGAGACTTTCTTCAGAAAGTTGGAAAGTTTATTCCTGCCTGGGGTTTTACTGACAGAAATTCAACATGGGGAAAGGCCAATACAATCATTGTGGATTCTCTGTGGTTACCACATTTTTCTATCTGCCTTTTTTAATATCTGTAGCATCTGTGGCTGCAATTAGAGCTGTGATCCCATTGCTTCCCTGTCTAATTCCCCTATCTAGTATAACAGATTTATCTGTTATATCTGTCACCTTGTTGAGGAGAATAAGGTAGGAAATTATCCTGAACGGAATGGGAAAAGGCAATTCATGAAGTTAGTGATAAATCATCCTGTGGTTCCAATACCAACTACTTCTTCATAGATTCAGGGCTTTTTTTTGGACTTGGACCATATATACTTAGGCACAAGAGGAAGTAAGTRGGTCCTCTTGCATGGCATCCACATCCAGGCCCAATAAAGTGCTACTAGTTTTATCTCTGTAGAAGGTTTGTTTTGATCCAAGCTTCCTGTTTGCTGTGGAATTAGAGTAGGAACAAATCTTTTACCATCAGAGCAGAGCCTTTAATGACTGAGATTTGGATAGGCAGATTTGTTTGTCATCTCTATACCTGGAAGTGATATCAACACATACAGAGATCTAGTGTTAACAAAACTTAACTGCGTGTACAGACCATAAGTATTTATTGATCATTACATAATTTGTCTTCCTTAAATGCTGTTTTCTTGACTGGTTTAGGCTTTTGGAGGTCTCAGATGAGCTACAAGTGAATGGATTTAACTTCTTTACAGTGGGTCTCAGAATTATGCCTATTCAGCAGCATATAGTAACTGGTTCAACATGAACTGTTTCTTCTACAAACATACAGAAAGCCTGACCCAGACTAAATCAATTTAAGAAGAAAAACATTAAAGCTATGTTTCCTGTTACATGCTTATGGTCGTCTTTGGTTGCTTATGATCTTACTGGATTATTGACCAACTGCTGCAGTCTCTACCACCTGCTGAAAGGTTCAAATGGGAGAGTGAAGTTGCTTTCAGAGGGATGAAGCAGTTAAATTCTTAACTCCTGCTGGACCCTTTTGCTGGTAAAACAGTTTTTATGCTAGGGGTAAAGAAGTCATGAATCTTGGCTTACAGGTTTTCCTGATTTTATTTGCTAGAAGGATTGGCTTTTCCACCATGCAAAAGGTTGCAAAGTTCGTACATACCATATATGTTTAAGATTAGGGCAATTCTTTTGCTTTTTTTAACTTATTCTCATCCTTCCAGGGAGTGTATCAAATAAGATGTGGGGTTCATGTARAGGCCTGTATGTATAGACTTTATTTGAGAAAAGGTTCTTTTAATCCTTATATAAAACTGTTAGGATTTATTTCATGCAAGCAAAAATCAGTTTAATCAAAATGTCAGTAAGCATTAATAATTAATTCTAGTATTTTTAATATATATATATAAAATGCATTTTTTTAATGGTACTCTAGAAACATGATTTGTTTTCTTGGATTTCAAGGATTTACATCTAAGTGCGCAGAGGAACAGTTYTGTATAATATACAGGAGACTGCTAAGAGCAGGAACAGAATGCAAATGCAATTTTTGTATCAAAATGGAAGTGTTCGGCTGTCATATCCCCAAGGAGCACAAACACTACCCAGTCTTACAAAATGAAATGGATCAACTTAAACAGGGGTCTGATCAAATCTTACATGAGCTTCCTTCTTACATGGAATACACTGGCTGACTTCGTAGTGCCGCTCTTAATGTAACTCACGTCTAAGTAGTAGCTCTGTGTACTTGTTGCACCTAAATGTTCGTGCCAAAGAGTGATTTCATTTTTGTTTATGTAAGTAAATTTAGTCACTATGTGCGAGGAGTAAAAGCATTGCCCCAGGGGGGAGTTTCAGGATGACAAACACAGRTGCATCTTGCACATCAGGGCACCAGGACATGGTCATGCCCAAGGAATACAGGGCAAAGGGCAGCTTACTACAAGCTACTAAGCTGCACTTTGAAAGAATGAATGAAAAATACACTTTATTGTGAAGTGGAAAGGAAAAGATTTGCTTTAGACAGGTGAAAAAATTACCATGTTCTGTATATTTGATACACTTAAGCAGGTTTCATAAAATATGTTATTTGGCCCATTAGTTTAAATAATGGATATATAATCAGATAATAATCAGATAGATGCTCCAATATCCACTTGCATTATACAAAGCAAGTAAGTAGATTATCAAGTGACACTGGGTCCCACAATAATCTACAGAAATAAACCCCCAAAACTACATACATATTGATGAAGTAATGCCTAAAAAGAATAATAAAAAAAACAGTTGTTGTGGTTAGACCTCTCTCTCTCTGCAGAAAGTTGACAAATAATCCTGAGTTTTAKGAAACCACATTTAATTTTGAAATACCACTACTGGCGTAACAGGCTTTTGCTGCATTTCTGCTAAGCGTTTAAGTAACTTGTAGGGCTGGGGAGCGCTGCCATCGCTCTGCCTCAGCATCAATGTCAAATCTGCTTACTTTCCTGCTACCTGCATGACCCTGTGGGTTGCTCTGGTTGTTTAATTGACTTTAGTTGAAAGGACGTGGCCTGAAGCATTGAAAATGATCTTACGTTAAGTTTGCTCATAGTGCTGGTGTGCAGCAGGTACATGAGTTGTCCTGCCTCCCTCCCCTACCAGCCTGCGTGGATCCCGCTCAGTTTGGAAGTACTTCTGTTCACACATCTCACTGAAATACACAGGAACAAGACATCTRGACCTAAAATACTACTTGTATATTATCAGGAATGGCAAAATTCATAYGCCAATTTTCTCCGTGGCAAAATTCATTTAATAAGCAAATTGCCTGTCAGATTTGCCTTTCTTTGCTCTTTGCACTGTGCAGTGTTACAGCCGCTCACGCTATGAAATACAGTTTATTCTAAATTGCCTTTTTTTCTTTTTTTGGTCACAACAGAAGAGCCCTGAATTTAGGGATACTTCGAGACCCTGGATCAGAGGTGGAAGACAGACAATATCAAATAGACCTCCAGTCTATAAACATTGGTACAGCTCATTGGAATCAGTTGAAACCTGAGAAGGAAAATGCAAAAGGAGGGGTGCTAACAGAGAGCGAAAGAAATTCTCAAAACCCAGCACTTGAATGGAACATGGCCAGTAGGTAGGAACATTTTTTAACCTATTCTCTTCTAGAATTGAACACGGCAAACACCGTGGATATCATTTGCAGTATATCTGAATCAAATAATTCTGTATTGTTTTTACATTGCAAGCACATTTCTGTAGAGTTTTGGATTACACTTTTGAAATGCTTATTACTATTGTTGTTACACTATAATTGCTGTAGAGTTATTATGTGTCTCTGCTTCCATTATAAACTCTTTTCCGAGTGGCTTGCTGAATGTCCATAAAAATAACTCCAGGGTTGAGACTTGACATTCATCTTCTCAGTCTACAAGCAATGGGAGGTTTTGGTTTGCTTGGCTTTGCGTTGCTTTTGTTTTTAACTTCCTTTGTTTGTATTTTTACAAAGTTTGAATAAAACCAGCTTCGACGTTTCCAAGTTAGAGGAGGATTAAGTAGAACATTTTTTATTGGTTCTGAACTGTTTTTTGCACTTCTGTAACTAAGAACAGATGAATATTTTAAAGGATGCATTTCAACCAAGTCTTCCTTATTGTATCCTGCAAGATACACACACCGAAACCCCTCCTAGTTAAACAGAATTGAAAGAAAAAGCATGCATACATTTGCTTTGTATTTAAAATTTTAAATTCTGAAACAGTAATAAACATTTTTATTTTTTATTAGAGAAATTTTGATTCCAGTTTTAGATGATTCTTTATACTCTAGAAACCACACGGGTGTTTCAAAACTTATCACCTGTATAGCAGTCAAAGCGTTCTCTTTAGTGACTGTTGGGGAGTAAGGCTTCATAACCAAGAGCGAGCACATTTTGAGGATTTAGATGCAATTCTGCTAGAGGAAGCCTATTGCTTCTGCTTTAAAAAAAAAAACTTTTTTTTTTTCAATTTAAGGTCTTCATATTTAACTTATGCAAAAACTATCCAATTTATATGGAACTGCATGGACAATTTTATGGGTCCCCAGATAAAGATCATTAGCTGAGTATAGGGACAGGTACTTGACATTACATGTCTGGAGGGAGGAGGAAAATCAGGAGAAACCAGAAGAAAGAAAAAAAAAAAGTGAATTATTGCTGATTTCATTTTCAAAATGAGGGGCACCTTTTCCTCACTTGAGGAATGTGAGAGCTTTTCCTCAGAGTGCAGGCTGGAGCAGAAGAAGCCTTATGAGGATGGCCCGCAGATTGCAGTGCATAAGTGATGAATGGATGATGATTGATTAAGATCATATGGTAAAGCAGGAAGGAGTGACCGGAGTGGAAGTGAAACCTCAGTTAAATCTAGTGGTAGTATCTGCCCTTGTTTATAAAATCCCATGTTCTTTCCCATCATTTAACATTTCTTTGTTTGTTTGTTCATCTAATTATTTGTTTTATTAATACACTTCTGTGAAGGATTTTTATTACTCTTGAAAAAAATGYTTGTAACCTCGCTGGATCTAGGTGTTGGGGAAGCTGCCCTTGAAGATCTGTCTCCCATACCAGCGTAGGGGCCCAGCACTTCTTGAAAGATAAGATGACAAATCTCAGCAGGAGTTTGGCCAATTTGCAAGTTAAGGTAACACTAGAAAACTGGTCACTCAGGAACTGGCTTTTCTTTCCCTTCCTGCTGGCAACTGGCCACTGTGTCGTCAACAGGCTTTGGTCTGAGCTTAAGGGTTATAGATTTTGATAGGAAATTTGGTGAGATTCCTAAGAAACTATTAAGATAAGAATTAAGAGAAGCAGCTGTTACAAAAATCAGAGGTTGTGTTTCTTCTTTTTTCCCTCAGATTTCCAATATAAATTTTATTAGAATATGTTTGTCTAATGAATGTGTTTATTTTGATCTCGTTTCTGAGTGAACCTTCTATTTGCTTTCTCATTTAGATCAGGAGTAATAAGCAGCCACTAGCCATGCACGGCAATACGCAATACTGTGTCTTAATTCCAGGCAGAACTTGGTTAAAGGGAAAGCTGGTGTAAGTGCTTTGATGTCAGCGTGGCTTAACATTTGATCCTTTCACTATGTGGCATTTTCAGGACATTTGGTGCTGTTGCTTCCCAGTTGGCAGCCAGTTTGGGCCGTTCTCAGACCCATGGAAGTGTGGGGCTGAGACGCGGAGGGGACCGCGCGCTGCTCCATGCGCCGCCGACAGCTTTGGGGTCGAGTTTGTCTTAAGATTTACTGAAGCTGCCACGGAAGCTTTAGTCTTTGACCTGCTTGTGATACTGTTTTCTTTTTTAATTCTCGAAATTTCATTGATATGTTTAACCTGGAACACAATGAAAGATTTTTATTGAGTTATTTTAGGGTTTGGTTCATTGTTTGGTTTGAATATACTTCTATTTATTTTTACTTACCATTTAGACCCAGTGCTATGGTTTATTAGGTTKACTGGGCTATAAGATATTTCTTTTTCAGATCCATTTCTGTCTCTTTTACTGAATTTTTGAACGCTTAGTTGATGTGTGACGCAGTTGATAGTCCACATCAACTATATCTGTGTATTTCACACAGAGTAACCTTACAGAGTAAAAAATATAGCCTTAGCAAACATACCACCCTTTCATTTTCCATTCCCATTTCTTAAAGGTATTACTGTAMATTTTTTTTCTGAAATAAATAATTATAAAAATTCTTAAATAAATTATATTGTAGTTTAGTCCTGTGGGCTCAAGCCTGGTCTTGATTTATAAATTTGAATCAAAATCAAATTATTCTATATATAAAATGTAGGGATATAATACAAATCAACATTTGAGAGCCTTTGACGCAATTTATCATTTAAATGATATAATGTTTATACAAAAAACTAATCCTTCAAATTTTCCCACCCCTTTTGGGGGAATTCGATATTTCTAGTATCTGGCATCTCATGAATATGATTTTTTTTCCCAACTTTTGCATCTTATTTTGGAATAAATAAGTAAATAAATAAGAGCCCTGTTTTTGAGCCTAACCACGTTGAGCATTTCRAGCTGTTTGGTGCCAGTCCTTCCTCGGAGGTGCTAGTGCCAAGGCCTCGGTGCCGCTGGAGTCGCTGCGAGGAGGAGGAGGGAGCTGGAGCACCGAGGTGGGTAGGTGCCCTCTCTCCCGAATAACAGCACGGGATTTGGCCAGGATCAGGGATCATAACTCTTCCCATTATGAAATGTTTATTCTCCGCCATAGAAGTTATAAAAAGCTCCCTAATGGTGTAATATATAAAAAGAAAACTGGAAACAGTCAGACAGTTCTAATAAGGTTATGTACAAATGAAACCTGTCCACATTTATACCCTTTACCAAACAGCATGTGGGGGACTGGGAGTACTTAACCAAAAGAGGTTTCCTTGATTGAAAACTGCTTTTTCAGCTTGCACATCGCCTCCTCCCTCTCCCTCCTCTCAATGGAAAAAACAACAGCCCTGAAGGAAATAAAGAAATATATCCTCTCCAGAGGCCTCGCCCCCGTCCCTGCGCAGCCCTTGTGCAGCTCCCAGCAGCAACTCCTGCTTCCTGCAGTCTGAATAAACTCTGCTTAAAAAAAAAAAAAAAAAAAAAAAGTAATTGAGGTTAAAAGCATTACTGCTCTGTGTGGTAATGAATTGAGTGTGGCAATGCGCCGCGTTGCAGTTTTGTCCTTGGCATGCCACCATCTGGAACAGCTCTCCGTGCCTCTCAATGAGTATGTCAGGGAGCCAGGGATCTGCTGTGCAGAACGGAGCGAAACGCCACCCCGGCTTCGCAGGGATCTTCCGAGAGCTTCCCTCTGCTCCCTGCAGGCGTTGCATTGAGCAGCTTGAGCTTTCCTGCCTCTCTCAACAGTTGAGGCACAGCTTGCGCGTACATGAATACATGTGTAGGGAAATAGATGCATGAATGGTTTGGGAGAGAATAAAACGCATGTGCTGTCCATCGTGTGTTTCATTTGTCACATTTATGGTACCTTCAGTCATGCCTGTATTCACACTGTACAAAGGCTTATGCCAATAAACTCAAAGTCTTTTTTTTATTACTCCACAGCAAAGAAATGCTGCAAAGCATTGTTAATAACTCGAAAATTAATTTTACTGCGGCATAATTGTTCAACAATAGTCATTCTGTATGGCCAGATGCTGTACATTTGTCCCTTGCTTTACTTGGGTGCTTAGGTCTCGAGGCGGTTTGATGCTGCGTCGCTCTCCCGGGATGTAACTTTGCGCTTCCCTCSGTGCAGGGAAGGGCCGGGGATGGTTCTGCCCCCTGCAAGGCGGGGGACGGGGGCGCAGCGGGCTGGTTTCCCCCCGTTTCAGTAGTGGCTGCCTGTCCCCGTGCGTCAGGGCTCTCCTGCTAGCGAGAGGCCCTAGGTCAGGCCTGAGTCACCCCGTCGTTTAACGTGACGTGGGTGGATTGGCGGCTGCGTGGGGCGCTCGGAGGGCGCTGCAGGCTGTGCCTTCCCCCAGCTCCTGCCCGTCAGTTGTGCATCGGCTGCGTGCAGGCTCCTTTCTGACCTAAAGTTAAGTATAAAAAGACTCAAGCTGTACATTTTGTAAGGTGCCACAACAAAACTCGTAACTGAGATTAATGCAAACGTAGATGGAGGTTTCCCACTCACACGGAGGTTTCCCATCGAGGTTTCACACGAGGTTATGCTCAGCTTTCTCTGGGCAGGTTTGTGTGTTTGCTTGTTTTGACATTTTTTTCCAGATAAGGAGGCTGACAGAATAGTCCTCTCTGTGCATTTTCAGGGTTATCGAGTCACACACATCAGCACACCTCCTAATACAACATCATCTCTTTGGCAGCCTTTTTCCTCATGTAAATTCAAAATACTTCTGAGTGAATGTAATCAAATGCCAAGGATTTGATCTGATGTAGTCAAACGCTACTGTGCTGTTCACAAAACCCACGTTCTTCAATTTGTTGATGTTTTTATTTTCCATTCTCTCTTCTGTCCATGGCATTTTCAGACATATTAATCATTAGATAGGGCTTTGCTTTTAATGTATGTCCAGGCTTTGATGTCTGCCTATTCCCATGTCGGTGTCTGTTGTTTTCTATGAGAGCTCTGCACTCACCCACCCAACATGGAGCCTCCGCCTGCCAGTTAGCAGGCTGGCACCTTCAATTTGCAAAAAGTCCCTCGCTTTCTCACTCTCAGGTTATCCTACATGTTTTAAAGGCTTTTCCAGTGATTGTTCTCAGAGTTATTGCAACGTCTTCTTCCAAAGAATTCGTTTTGATTATGCTTTAATGCAAAAACTCCTAAGAGCMTTCAGGATGCCACTGTACTGCTATCATTACTTCCAGTGCTGTTAGGCGTTCCCTTTTACTTCCCTCTCTGCTGCTTTTTCCTATAGTTAAATTGTTTTTTATGAGGACAGAACATTTTTGTCCTAGGCTGTTACAGTGCCCAGCGCTGAGGTTCAGTGCTCTGCAAGCAGTGGTCATGTCCCCATTCAGATCCAGCCCAAACTCAGCGCTGGGTAAAAGGCTCCTGCAAGCCTTATCACAACTGGTTTGCTGCCTTGTTGCTTTGTGTTAGCATATGGTCTTTCAATGTGCTCTGCTTTTAAAGTATAGATGATCAACTGCTTTAACATCTCTAAAAGTACTAGCTTTTCCTCTTTTTCTCAAGACAAATATAGAACAGATGCACAAATGAACCATGGAATGAATGTGCTGCAGACATAGAGCCATCATTACGCTCTTCACAATCAAGTTTTTTCATAAGCTCATGTGGTGTACACCTGTGTTAAGTTAGCGATGCACTTAGGTGCAGTGTGGAAGATTTAATAATTCAAAGTGGAATTTGTTGCTTTGTTCCTTTTGTGCGCGTTCTCATATCCTCTCCCCTCATTATTTACTGTGCTCTGCTTGCCTTCTGTTTGTACTTACAGTTAGTTTGCTAATACTTAATTTTCCTGAACTTCACATTTGCCAACTAGAAATGCAGAAACCAGTAAGGAGGATAGAACAGGGATACCACCAAAGTTTGATTAAAAAAAAAAAAAAAAAAAGAAAAAGAAAAATAACAAAAGCAATCAATGTATTACCAAAAAATCCCTTAAATGCAGTGCCTGGACTAAAATAGTATTTGAAAATAAAGAAGCGAGAATATTTAGGAGCTGAAAAATTTTTCGGATGAAGGGCAAATTGTTTGCTGTGAAATGACTTGTTTTTATAGTTTTGCTTCATATATTGAAATCATGCTTACTATGATTTTTGTCACCGCAAGTGGAAGTTACCTGGCGTGTAGTTGTGTGCCCCCTCACGGAATTGTTCTACTACTTTATGCTTTCATTTTCCACAAAAACAAAGGCATTTCTTTCTATTCCTATTGTAAGGGGGAAATAGAATCTGGGGGGGAAAAAAAGCCATCTGGTTTATATTTAACACTAAGGTGATGGCAGGGAGAGAAGCATTTCCAGAACTGGCAAAATCTAAGCCCAGTTTCTCAGTTCAATACACCAATCTATAGCCAATCTGCTTTCTAATTTGGTGTCTAATTAGACTCATCTTGCTTCAGAAACCATTATTGCGACTAGCAGAGCCACAGCTGGCCAAAATATTGGAACTTTCTCTGTCCAGTGGTTATTTTCTCACAGTCACTGATTGAATTGTCCGTAAGAACCATACCCGGCCTCCTTGGCAGTAATTGGGAAGGTCATTTGAAGCACAAGTTCGTTACACCTGTGCTCAGTAAACATGAGCTCTGTGCTCTGTAGCATCTGCTTGTTAACCTTTGTATAAAGCTGAAGTTGTCCTAAATAAACTTAAAAACCTTCAGGCCTACCCACATCTGTTCCTTTATAATTTGCCATTTTCCTGCATGTTATGAAGACACTTTGGCTAATTAGTGGTAAGATTTGAGCCRTCAGTACCTGTGTAGCTTGGGTGGTAAACTCTTACCTATGGGTTTTGGTCCTACAAGAAGAGTAGGCCAGTGTTACAGTCAGCGACATAATGATGTATATTTAATTTCTTTTTTGCCTGACTCTTGGCCTATAAACCATCAGCACGTGAGGTTTTGTGCTTTTAAACTGAATCCATTCAAAAAAAAATGTTAACAGTACTCTTGTTAACTCTTTGTTAACTCTTTGTCCTTGACCAAGAGATGAACTCGCTCACTCTGCATCTCAGTGACGAGATTTCTGCGTGGAGAGGCATCTCACCACATCATTTCCTGACACTTTCATGGATAACCAAAGCAGAGGGTGAAGAATAGTTAACCTGAGTGCAGAGCTCATGTCTGGCTCATGCCTACGAGGCCAAGATCACAGGAGAGGGCGAAATGAAAGCACCCAACTGCCATGTAGGCCCACCTTGGTGATTCAGGACAGCTGGGTTCCTTTTTTGTCTGGCCAGTGTGGTTTAGTCGTTTCTGTTGTTGGAGATGTTTGCATAATTTGTTAATAATTTTAACTTTTATTGCTTCCAAAAGCTTTATTCCTATAAGAAGGTTGGGGTTTTTTTATAGCTTACCTAGGACCAATAACTCTGTGATTGTTTTTAGAGTTGCCTGTGGCCAGACACAGGAATTTAGCTTACCTATAGAGAATGATARGTAGAGACAATTATCAAAAATCTCTCTTTAAGGAAGGGGTCTCCCAGGAATTTGAACTGTATCCTCTTTGGGGTCTAAGCACCATTTTGATCTCTTTTTTTTTTTATTATTATTATTTTTCCCTGATCAGGTGTTCTCAGATGGGATTCTGTGGCAATAATTTATTTGACCTGACCACAAGAGCCTGGCTAGTTGGAATGTATTGTCATAAGCTATTAGAGGTCTATACCTAATCGGATTGTGCCTCGGGGCTCAGTATTTGTTTTTTTTTAAAAAAAAAAAAACACACAGCTGAAAAATAAAAATAAAAAATCAAGTTTAATGGTGCAAATGTTCTTGGCAAGCAAATCTTGATTTTAGACAAGAAGGTTCTAAGAAAGAAACAGAGAAGCAGTGGCAGAAAGCTGACAGGTCTCCATTTTGGGGCAGTTTTAACATCTTTGAACAACAATTGTAAAAAGTATAATTTGTAATTGCAAGGATTAGCTAGTTATGTAGGATCAACTTGTTAAATTTTTCATGTCTTTGTTTTTGTCATAGTTATGTTATTGTGATCAGCAATTGTATTTTTCCTCCTACAAGACTTTAATGCACAAATTCAAATATTAGAGATAAAAGTTATTTTTAAAGAGCATCCATTAACACATTTGAAAAATACTGATTTTAAAGCTGGTATCTTTATTCAAATGATTTTGTATAGTCTAGTTAAACAGCAGAAAAACAAAGCCAATTGCAACAATTATCTGGAAAGATATAATTTGAAAATTCAAATATTTAGATATATCTTGGTCAATAAACAAAGATGCATCCTGTCTTCAGGATTGGAACTAATGTGATTTGTAATGATGCTACATATGTATTTTTTTGAGATAGAAACCAAAAAGTCAAACTGATGTTGAAGCTTTTATTGTGCTGTTTGCTATATGTCTGGAAGAATATGGGAAGTTTTGATCCCTAAACAGTTTATAATGTGATTTAACCTATTTTATTTTGTTTTTTTTTTCCCCTAGCATAAGGCGGCATCAGGAAAGGAGAGCAATTTTAACTCCAATTTTAACAGATTTCACAGTTCGAATAACTGCAGCTCCTGCAATTATTTTCACAAAAATTGATGCTCCGGAGAATTTGCACCCAGAGGTGAGTACAAAATGTGAGCAGAAGTAGCAGAACTTTTAATATATGGATAACCATCCTATTTTCAAATCCAGAAACCATTAGCTATCAAAAAAACAATCATAATACCTGAAATGTGCTTTCTCTGCCAGAGGAAACTCGTGTATAGCCCTTAATATTAAAGGCAGCCAGTCCAGAGGTAGATAGCCTGTCTGCAATCCAGAAAAAGGAGAATCCTTTAATGCTTGCCAGCAATAYTTTGAAAGGTTTTCCGATAGAAAGTTGTTAAGAAGAGTTGCTGTGATAGTATATTACAAAATATTGTCTTCATAAGCTCTTCACAAACAAACCTGCAAATGTGGTTTGTTGCCACATGCTGCCTGTAAGAAGCAGGTTGAGTTGCAGGTTTTTTAGCGAGATTCTCAAGCTCACAGATATCCACAGACATTGTGTGTCCTTGACCAGCAATCTGGGTACTTCAAGGTATTCCATATTTAACAGTCATGTTTGCCAGGCTGCGATCGGCTTGTTAATGGTTAGTGTGTCAGGCCTGTTACACACAAAAGACTGGCTCACTTTTTGGAAGTGGAAACTTCCTCATCTCTTTCATAGAAAACTTATTATATAGGGGAGATGCCAGTCAGCTTTTGTGAGCTTGCAGGAATTATTCCTCCTAACAGCTACCTCCTTGAATGAGCAAAACTGAGATAGGAATAAAAAAGATATTTATGCTTTCTGAAATGGGTGCACATTGTTGGAAGATGGTAGATAATAAGTATTTAAGGAAAAATGGACAACTTTGTTTTATATAAGGAGCCATCACAAGTGCAGATGGAAATATATTTAATGTAAAAAAAGAAATAGCTTTGGGAGTGGCTAGGGTGCATGGAAATGATTAAGTAAAAAAAACTCAGAACAAATATAAGTTTTAAAATTAAATAAAAAAATTACTTAAGAATTAAAATCTTTTTGCTTCTTAAATTCTTCTTGTTATCTGATCCCTATATGATGTTCACTAGTGAAAGAAGAAGCCTATTTTAGATTACTAAGAACTYGAATGGTATGCACATAGTATCATGAGAAGGGGCAGCACTTCTACTTATTAACAAAGCCTTCTGGATTGGTTCTGTTTTTCATCTCTTTATTGCTTGCCAGCAGTGGTCAAGAGCTTTTCTTGTGCTAGATAACACCAATAAAGCAGTGGTTATCCAGCTAGCTCTGCCAAAGTATTAACAATGTTTTACAGGCAAAGAGAAATCAATTAGGTTGGTTATCAGTGAGCTCCAGCACATGATTTCATTATAAATCAAGCAGAGTTTATGTTCCCAAAAAAGTGCATCCTTTTTTGGAAGGAAAAGAGACTTGCACTCTTTGCCAAGAAAATAAAAAACAAAGTCTGACAGTCCACTATTTGATAMTACCAAGAGACAGAAACAAGACCTCACACATGAAATGCTTTCCTTACAAAATTTGCCTTAATGGTTACACACGCTGATGAAAGCAAAGCAAAGAATAAGCCACATCCTCATTTAGAAGTCTGATGCACCTCTGTCCCCTGAAAAGCCATAATTARCATTTTATACCTATCTTGAAGCATTGACTAAAGCAGAAAATCAAAATATGGTTATACAAGACTGCAAATTATTTACCTAGTAGCTGCTGTCTAGTATTTTTCCTTATTTTCTCTACAGGAGATTTTAGTGTGTGGTCATTCTTTGGAGGTAAATGCAACAACAAATCTGGATTTCTTCCTCAGTGTGGCTCAAGTACAACTTCTTCAGCAGCTAGTAGAAGCCAACATGGTTGGACTGGAACCTTCCAGTAGCACTACTGAGGTAGGTTATTTTGCCTGGTTTACAGTCAAATTTCCTTTAAAACATTGTAGCTGTGATGTAGCTCTCAGTGTTTGCATCMTCTGTAGTGATATACAGTGATCTGAGTAAATTACATATATGTATTATTATTATGTGCTTGGTTAGATTGCCATTGTATTCTGACATTGTTCTAACAACAGGAACAGCGTTATTTTAGTAAAAAATACTATTCAGTAAATGGGCTGAAGTGATTCTGTAACATCTGATGCATGGGAAATACTAGCTGATGAAAATAATTACATAGAAAGGAAAACAATTTTGAGGTATTTTTGGGGAGGAGAGGCACTAGTGCTTAATTTCAGCTTTTACTGTAGGTTGGTCATCTTCTCATGAGTTTACATGTCCACGCACTTGACTCTGCATGTCGTTTCAACCAATGAACTGCAAAATATTCCTTGTGCCTGGTAATGAATACGAGTGTTGCCTGAAGACTTCCCTTGTCTGTCCTYAGTCAAATCCCAGGGTTCAGTCCATGTCTGAATCGTCTTTTGCTTCGTCATTAAGAGTGATGATGGGGCACGTATGAGGTGTTTCATCTTCTGAACTGTTAATTTCTCCTTTTTTTCTGCAGTCTTTCAGCGTTGTGCAGTCCTCTCTTCAGTTTCTTACTCTTGGTTATTTCTTAGAGTTGACCATCAGTTTGCATGAAAAGCCAGTCACTAATTGTGACAGACCTGTGAGTTTAAATTATTAGTTTTTTAGGCTGATGAAAGAAAAAAAAAATAGAGGGAAAGAGCTTTGCCCTAGCAAAAAGTGTATATATCTTGTCCTCTCAACCAGGSATCTAGTCAGGCTGGCAGTGTCTTTTAAAGACAGTTAATACTGAAATGAGACAAGGTTCCACTGGCATTTCTGTAGCACCTATTGAGAAATCTTAACAAATAATAGAGTTAGGGAGAAAATTAAAAAGAGAGACATAGTCAACTCTTCCTTTCCAAAACTTTTTTTTTTTATGGGAGAGCTGGAGAAGAAACTTCTTCCTTGCCGGCCTGATTGTAGGTTCAGCTTGCCTTGGGGCTGRGTGGAGATGGGAAATGCTCTAGAGCAGCCAAAGCTGCTTCTGTTTCGCCCTTCCCACATTGTCAGAACCCCAGAGCTTGTTTATGTTCTGCTCGTCTGGGCATCACACCGTCCTCCTCTTCGTCATCCCTTCCCAAGAGCAGGGGGAGAGAAAGGGCATTGGTTCATGACCATGTTGAAACATGGAACATGTGAAGAAATGCAGGGTATCTTCCTCGGATACTTCGCAGACACAGGGCCTCTTTTGGATAGACATTAGATAAGCATTCTAAATAAAGGTACATGTGAATATCTTCAATAAATAATTTGCAGAGTGCCGTTTTACCATTGTCAGGGGAATGGAAGTCACAAGAGGTGAAAGGATGCCTCGAATTTAGGTTTTGAGCTGGTGCTGTGCAGAAGTCCTGTACTATTAATGTGGGCTTCACAGTCTGGAGAGCAATTAATAGAGTCTTTCAGAAAACATTTTATTGACTATATCCTGAGATACCTRTTTGTTCTTCATTAATATATCCCTTATATTCATGAGGTTATTAAATAACCTCATGAACCTATTAAATAACCTCATGATTCCTATTAAATAATAGGAATATTTCTTATTCATGTTAGTGTTTTCCTTCTTTTTAATGAGTTGTAAAGCTACATCTTGATTCACTATATTGAAAATATAAATCCAGTAGTTAATTTTGTTACTCTCTTTTTTTCCTAATGTTCTGCAATCCAATAAGCTTAATGAAGCCACCTGCCCTCAGGTATACACATTTATTATTAGCCTCATGTTGCTTCTTTAGATAATAGAAAAAAATATGTAATAATCCAATTRTATGCTGTTATTTTCATTTCAGTTAATCTAATCTGTAGTCTGCACTTGGCTATACATGTCACCCTTGCTAATTACTTCATTGCAAACATCATTAAGTTATGTAGAAAGACCTCTGGAGGTCATCTCGACCATTCTTCTTCTACAAGGAAGACTCATGTCAGACTTAGACCAGGCTTTGCAGGTCATCACCCATTCAAATTTTAATAACTCTAAGGATGGAGGTTCAGCTGCGCCTCAGGGCAGTTCTCAGTGCTTAATCACCCTCACTTGATTCCCCACCCCCATCCTTAGCCTTCTCTTCTCCAGACTGCATAAATTTAGCCTTCTAACAGCCTTGATGGTCCACTGATCAGTTGAGCCTGTCAATCTCTTTCTTCTTTGGGGAAGAAAGCTAGAAACCATAGTCTAGGTGCAAGAGCATAATCTCATCTGATCCATTTCTGTTCCTGTTATTAATGCAGCCCAATGGTTGACGTTCTTCAGCGCAGGGACACACTGCTGTCACAGGATCAAAATGTCCACCAGGACTCCTGGGTTCTTCTCTTCAAAGCTGCTCTCTAGTAGTTGACATCCATCCATGTGTTGTTGTTTGAAGTTGCTCCATGTCCTGTACAGGTGGTTACACTTATCTTTGAGCTGCATGAGGTTTCTGCCAATCGCTTCTCTCTTTTATCAATATCCCTCTGAATGGCAGCCCTACCCCTCTGCGTCTCAGCCACTTCCCCCAGTTTGCTGTCTCTTGTGGGCTTTCTTAAGGGTCATTCTGTCCCATTGGCAAGGTCATTAATGAAATGGCATCAAACCTTGAGAAATATCACTTGTAATCAGAGGTTAGCTGATGCAAGATATACTTTGTACCAATGACCATTGCTTCTTCTCTGATTTTGGTGGTCCAGTGTGTTTTCTGTGTGTGTTCAGTTCATACAAACCCATTTGCACAGAAGGATGTTATATAAGACTGTGAAAAATGTTGCTTAGGTCAAAGCAAATGACATCTGTCATTGCTCTTCCGACAGAGCAATTGTCTGATCATAAAAACATCTCAGCATGAAGGTGATCAGGTTGGTCAGGCCTGCTTTACTTTTAGTAAATCTTCACTGTTGTTCCTAGACACTTTCCAGAGTCTGGAAATGGCTTCTGTGAAAAGGAGTTCCATGTTTTTCTCAGGGAGCACGAGGAGACTGACTATATGGTAGTTCCCTGGGTCCTTTTCCTTGCTCTTTCTGAAGATGAGCATGAGGGTTGCTGGTTTGCACTCATTTGTTGGCTGCATGGGCTGACACCTCTTCCAGCAAAGAGTTCTTTGAAGCTAACTAAAAGTTCATGGAAAAACRACAAAAATATTCTGGATTCTGCTACTGATTACGAAAAAGAAGGTAGAAAAAGAAATTCAGAGTCAAGTGCATATGGCTTGGATGAGAGATGGCAAGGAAGATGTTTTGGATCTGTGAATCCATAGATATTTGAGAAGTGTAAATGTCAAGGCAGAAACAGAGTAATCAAGGGTTGCAGAAGGAATCCTAGAGCTCTGGAGTTATATAATTAAATGAAAGGAAACAGATTACTCAAGATTAAATCTTAAAGAAAAGATCACCTTTGGCACAAAAAGCTTTGCCAAGGAACATAAAAAACCTGAACATCTCATTGCTTTTTCATGCCAAGATAGGACTATCTGCTGTGATTTTAGTCTAGTTGGTTTAGTTAATGTTACAATCTGTAACTGCTCATAATAATCCCTATCACTTTCTAGTTCCTGCGATTCTGAGTTCAGCAAATTCCATTCATCTGTCCTGAAGTTCAAAGAATAAGCCATAGTTAGTTAAAAATGCAAAAGTTACTGTCCCATTCTCTGAAGCTTAAAAATCATTAAGCATTTAAATCTTCTTTTAAGGGATAAAGGGGAGCTTCACCATATTAAAACTGCATGGGGCATGTGGATTTAGCAACAGTAATTAGCTTTGTTATTCATGAATATCAAGTAATCATCATATTAAACCTACTTTAAAAACTGCCATATATAAAGAATAACACATGTCCATTTTTTGAAACCAGTGTTTTCAAGCAAGTTAAATATTTATACTTTTTAACAAAATAAAAAACATATTTTAAGGGGGCAGGGATGAACCACATCATTAAGGCAGGCAGAGATGGGGGTGCTCTTTGATCTATGCATGTATTCAGCCCAATATCCCACAGGAGAAAAAAAAAAGATCATAAAATATTCTTTTCTTCTCCCAGTCTCTGGACTTGGTCTCCTGCAGTCTTACCATTTCTTTCTAAGTCTGTACATACGGGTCCCAGTTTCCAGTGGTCTTCACACAGGCTTGATACCCATGTGCAGTTCTCCAGTCTCTTCACTACACACCTTTGTTCTGTTGGATAAAACAGATAAAAACAAAAAGGATAAATGTGTTTTTCTGCTTTCTGAAATTATTTGAGGATTTGTTCCATTTCTTACAGAGGCAAAAAAAAAAAAAAAAAAAAAAAAAAAGAATACCAGATACTGGATAGTTTCTGTGTTTTTTTCTTTTTTTTTTCTGATCTTAAAAAGTAGAGTGAAGACTCGAGTCTGAAGTGTTTGTTTGGTGCTTAATATTTGCAGTGGAGGTTTTCTTTTCTTTTTTTGCAAGTTTTGTTGCCTTTTCTTGTGGATCATCTTCTGGATGAAATATTGTACTTGCTCTTTTTGAACAGTATCATTGACTGATATTATTTTTTTTAAATCTAGAAAGGATGATTGTCTGTGTTTAATAGTGTTGTTTTTTTTCCTCTCATGAATTTGTGCAATTACTTTTCTTATCTTCTACACTTGGATCATATYTCACTTTCAGCTCTTTTCTCCCAGACTGAAAAATGCAAGTTTGTGTGACTAGCACTGCMTCCTATAAACTGCTCCATGCTGTTAGTCACTTTGGTTAAATATTCTGAATCTTTTTCAGTTTTGCACTGTCCTTTTTGAGAAGGAGGGAGAGGAGCAGGATCCTGACCATAACTGCAGCTAGTGTTCAAGGTGCAGGCAAATGTGGATTCATACAGTGTCTCAACGATGTTCACCCTTCTGTTCCACCTCCCTTTCCTTTAATTCTTAACAAAATAGTTGCTTTTTGGTTTTGGTTTT